CCAAATAGCTCAGTGGATTAAAGTGCCTGAAAGCAGGCATAGGTTCAATCCCTGGGACTGCTGTGCTGGCCCTGCCTCTCGGGCGCACTGAGATAGCAATTAAGACTGGGCATGGTGGCGCAGGCCTGTAATCCCAGCTCTTGGGAAGCAATAAACAGGCTATCACTACAAGTCCAATCTAGTAGTGAGACCCTGAACACCCTGTAGACCCTTCCCTAAAATACAGAAAAAAAGAAAATGCAATTTTCTCAATAGCATATGCAACTTTTTCTATCTAAAACAGAACTTGATTTTAACAACCTATCCTATACTTTTAACTACAAATTTCTATGTTAGCACAATAATAACCAGCTGTGCGTCTCAGTAGCTTTGCCTGGGGATACAGCAAGCAATCTTTGTGTTTACCCATTTGGTATGACAAATGACAATGTGTACACGTGTGCCAAATTGCAAACTGGGATTTTTACCCAAATTACTATCTACCAGGTTTTATATGTTTACCTAAGCATCACAGGAGGCAAAATACACCCACACAACTCTTCTGTAAAAATGCATTTTACCATAAATGGAATGTAGGTGACTCACAATAGCTGCACCTGGGGAAGGCAAAACCCCACCTGTGCATTCACCTACTTAGCAGACAAATAGCAAGGTGTGCACAGGAGATCCAAAGCAGCAACCCATCGGTTTTGCCCATGAAGTGCAAAACTGTTAAGTTTATAGACAGACATGATTTGTTTCTTAAAGGTTTTTTTTTAATTTTTCTAGTAGAAATAGCCCAATCCAGTACAATGAAAAACCAGATTTGCGGGCCACCCAGATAGCTCAGCGGACTAAAATGCCTGCTTATGCAGAGCACAAGGGCTGGGGTTTGATCCCCAACACCACAAGCTGTGCCAGCCCCGCCCCCGGGGCACACTGAAACAGCAATTGAGATGGCACGGGGGCCTGCACCTATAATCCCAGAGCTTGGGAAGCTGAAAACAGGAGGATCACTATGAGTCCAATCTACGTAGTGAGACTGTATACCCTGCACTAAATACATTTTTTAAAAAAAACAAAAGATTTTCAAGTTTTGCAGAAGGCCAAAGTGAATCATCAGACCATTCATGCATGGATGACAACCATGATGACAATGACATTGGCCATGTGAGCCAAAACTCCTGTGACAGTGACACACAGCAAGAATCCATGGATACAGACACAGGGAATGCAGACCTCCTGGATTCATGAAAAGACAGCAATGTGAATACACTTAGAAATGGTACAATATGGCCACACAATGAAATGTAATAATCAAATGTTAGAACTAGTTCCAAAACTATAGTGAGGATCTTGGCGGGGTGAAACTTGCTGGAAGGAATGCCAGCAGTGCCATTCAGTGTTGGAAATTCTGACTAAGTGCTACAAAATGTTGTGAAATACACAAATGTTATGCTGAAATACAAGTAAAATGTTCTGTATACACCAACAGCTACACTCAAAAATGTTTTTAGTTTTTTCTTTTTTATTTATTGTTTTTAGTTTTTTCAAAAATGAATTTACTATGATAGCACCTCAATAGCTGAGCTGAAAGCACTGGTAAGTCGGTCTGCTCTACGTACTGGAGCTTTCCATGTACAATCACAGGACTGTAAAAAGAGTTTCGGAAAAGCTTGAGAGTTTTGGTTGTTTTCTTGTTTGGAGGCTTTTTTTCCTTGAGACAGGGTCTAACATTGTAATTCATGCTAGCCGCCTACTCGAGGCAATCCTTCTGCCTCAGCCTCCCAAGTGCTGGGATTACAGGTGTGTGCCACCACACTCAGCTGTAGGCTTGAGGTTTGCAGAATAACAATGACATTGAGATCTTATTTCCTTCAAAACTGCTTGAGGTTTGATGACAAAAAACTCACCAAGAAAGAGTAAGAACTAATAACCTGGCTGCTACGTGCTCATAGTTTCAGAGATTTGTAGATAATTGTCAATTTACATACCACCTGCACACATGACCACTGAAGAACATCTTGCAACATTTCATGGTCGCTGTAGCTTCTGGCAGTATATTCCCAAAGAACCTTCAAACTATGGCAAAAAATTTAGCCTCTGTAGACAAAAAGACTTACTATGCTTTCACTTTAAAATGTATCCTGGAACTCAGCCGTGTGAGCAGACTCATTGCTCCCATCTCCCTAACTGGAATGTGACATTCAATAACTGGCTTACCAGTGTTGCATTTGCTAACAGAATACAAATTGACCAGGTAGGAATTTTATAGAGAAACAAAGCAGAAATTCCAAATGCTGCAATTTCAGAACAGAGAACTGTATAGTACATTCTTTGGATTTCAGAAAGATTTAATATTGGCCTCATACAAGGAAAAGAAAAACAAATGGTACTGCTGTCAACACTGCACTATGATGGAAATATTAATAGGGAAACCTCAACAAAACAGAAGCCTGAGTTGGAAGCCTTTCTACACCAAAATCAAAGGTAGAGGAGACGCTGATGAGCTATGTAGCAATTATGATGTCACTCAAAACACAAAATGTTGGCCAATATTTGTGTTTAGCTTGATCTTAACATGCATGGCATAAATAGTTGATAGTTCACACAAAGAAAATAAGTGCACAATACCATGGAGAAATTTTATTAGAAAACTGGGACTGGAACTCATACTTCTTCCTTGGGAACTAGGCAAAACAATTATGGAGCACACTAGTAGGCTGACAAGTGAACAGCCAGGCACAGTATTACAAAGACCTACTATGTCTACAGGAAAACAAAAGAGAGGTCAACTGTGCCCCATGGGAAAAGAGAGGAAGACAAACCACACACACTATCAGTGTAAGCAATACTTGCATATGGATCACGCAGTTTTCATGTGTAAAGACTGCCTTGGGTGTGATAGTTCAAGCAAAGATTATTCCTGCAGTGGACTTCGGTTTGTATTTGCATTCTAGTCTATGTTTCTATTTCTGATGTTGCCTTTTAAGTTTTGTTTTGTAAGCAAGGAAACCGCTGATGTGGAAATACTGATACCTATTCTAAGCACTCATTACGTTTTTGATATCTCATTGTTATCTTATTTTCCTGCCAAGTGAACATTTTAAAACATAGTAGGAAGGTTCTGACAAAACAGGAAGACAAGAAAGGTGACAAGAATGGCCTTCCACATAAGAAAGGAAAGCAAAGCACATGTGCTGTCAGTATAAAAGATATATATAAGTTGTAATGTGTGAAGACTGTCATCTGACAGTTGAAGCAGATTATATTTTTATCAAGTTCTACAGTATTTTCATTGTAGTTCATATAAGAATTTATTTCTCTTGTTATGTTTTTAGACATTGTACAAAAAAAAACCTGGTGTTGAAAATTCTGATGCTTTTTAATAAACACAGTAAATATTAAAAATTTAATACTTTATTTTTGTGTTTTCTTGTTAAGTACTCATTGTTTAATATAATAAAATTAAAGTTAAAATTAACAATTCACCAACAGGAATATTCTAAAGAATAAACTTTTTAACAAAATTAGTGTTATGCCCTGTGGGCTACATAAATACGTAAGAACTGAAATAATGCCCTGCATACAATAGGATTGTAGTGAAATGAAGCTAGAATTCAACAGCAGAAAAAGCCACAGAAACTACACAACAGGGGCCAGAGAGACAGTTCAGCAGTCTAAAGTGCCTGCTTAAGCAAACTTAGGCAAGCACACAGGGACCACAGTTCAATCCCCGGTACCACTCACCTCACCAGCCCCATACCCAGGGTGGGCTAAGCTGGCTTCCCATCAAAAAAAAAAAGAAACTACACAACACATGGAATTAAATAATACATTACTGAATAGTCAATGGATCAAGAAGAAAGTAGGAAACAAAACTTCCCACTGCGTGGTGATGCACACCTGCAATCCCAACACTCAGGAGGCAGAGGAAGGACCACTGCATGTTTAAGGCCAGCCTGGGCTATACAATGAACTCAAGACCAGCCTCAACTCCATGGTGAGCCTCTGTCTCAAAAAACAAAACAACAAAAAGAGTTGGTTTTTGTTTTTTTTTTTTTTTTCTCAGAATGCCTTCAAGGCATGATTGGCTGGCTTGAGTTGTGAGGATCGAACCACAGCAACCTGAGCCTGACGGCTTTGTTGAAGCAGCCACTTAAAGAACTGAGCTAAGGGGCAGGCCCCCAAAACAACAAAAAGAAGAAAGTTCCTAGCATGAATGGAGAATAGAAGCACAATATACCAAAACCTATAACAGTAAATGCACCCATAAAAAGAATAGGATGACTCCAAACAAGTAATCTAAAAAAGATCCAACTCAAGGTCCTAGAAAGATTAACAATCCAATCTGAAAATAATAGAGGGGAGGACATTACAAAGATCAGAGCACAAACATAAAATGAAACTAAAGAACAATTCAAAAGCTCAATGAACCAGTTAGTTCTTTGAAAGAAAGGGAAGGAGGTGTAGAGGTCGGGAGGACAGTAGGCAGGGGAGTGGAAGGGAAGGATATATATATATATATATATATATACCAATTTCACCACAATGAATGCGTTTCTCGCGTATTGCAAACACACACTAATAAAAATTTGAGAAAAAACAAACAATGCAAGAGAAAAAATAATAAAAAACATAATTTTTTTAAAAAACAAGCCAGGCATGGTGGTGCACAGCTGTAATCCCAACACTCGGGAGGCTGAGGCAGGAAGATCTTTGTGAGTTTGAGACCAGCCTGGGTTACAAAGTGAGCTCAAAGCTAGCCTCAAAAGACCCTGTCTCAAAAAGACAAAACCCAAAGCTAGTCCACATAGTGGCTGCAGCTGAGGTAGGCCTGTAATCCCAGCTCTTGAACAGCTAAGGCAGACAGATGTGCATGAGTTCAAAGCCAGCCTGGGCTACTTAGTGAGTTCAACGCCAGATCTGGTCTCAAAAAAATAAAAAAGAAAATGGTGCAAATCACTACTTTTTTGTTAATCCATTTCCTTTGATTCAATGATTTAAAATAGGCAACATACCTGTATTCATTAGTGTAGTCAAAATCCTGCTTATTATGAGTTGGCTTCAGGAAATTACATTCTATAATTCCAACTACTCCAACACCCATGTTGTTTGCCTAAAATAACAAATGAAATCATCACCTTAGACATAACATATTATGCTTGAAACACTTTAAGCAGAGACAATTTGCAGAAAATATTTCCCTACATTTATGATAAGCAAGTCTCACACCAAAACACTTTTTGGAAATGATTTCTTTGGGGGAGGAGGGCACATAAATGCCTAAGTAGAGCCTTTCTTTAAAACCATTCCCATTACTTATAAGTATCTAGACAAATACAGAATTATCATGCCATCCTCACATTTGTCCATGAGAAAAAGATTGACTTCTATGAGGCTGCAATTCCTTAGAGCGCAAGATCCACAAATAACTAATCTCAATACCTCAGTGCCCTACACAGATTGTGGCACACAGTACTCTGACGGGGTGCTAAATAAAGGTTAATCCTATAGTGCAGCAGGAAGACCACTTGCAAAGAGTCTAGGAGTTCAAGGCCAGTGTGGGCAAAACAGCAAAACTGCACCTCAAAAGCAAAGGCTAAAGCCATTCATCCAGTTTCACATCCAGCTGCTAATGAGGAAGGAATAAAACCTAGATCCATCGAATTATTTTTTTTTAAAACCTCGATAACTAAAATATTAAGCTCAAGTCATAAGTCATATTCTAAATATTTATATGAGATAAACCAGTGTATTTTGCTTGGAATTATCACTTATTTCTAAGTCAACATTCAAAGAGAAAAAGATGAGAGCATGTGTATTACTTTTTTTTAATGTATTTATCAGACAGGGCCTATAGGGTCTCACTACACAGATCAGACTTGTAGTGACCCTCCTGTTTTCAGCCTCCCAAGCACTGGGATGACAGGCGCACACCACCACAACCAGTCTCAATTGCCCTCTCAGTGTGCCCCGGGAGCAGGCCAGCACAGCTTGTGGTGCCAGGGATTAAACCCCAGTCCCTGTATCTGCCTAAACAGGCACTTTAATCTGCTATGCTACCTTGCCGGTCCTGAAAGCATGAGTATAATGTACAGTATGTTCATAAACCATAGACCAAACTGTTCAAATCAAATCACAGCCCTGCCTGACTTCACCTGTAACTCAGTGACACCAAACTGCTCTCATTTGTAGTTCCTGTCCTCCTTAGCCTCACCCCACCTCCGCCCTGTCTCTCCCTTTTCCTGTGGACCCCAGTCACAACTCACTCCAGCCACAGCTAACATGCTCTACATTGCCATCCTCTCACAAGTCACCTCTGCCCAGAGAGTACTTCTTGGACTTTCTAAGGCAGTGACATCAACAGTCACTAGTGTCTCCAAGTAGACTCTTCTCATACTTTGAGGATATTCTACAGCCCCCGCCCCTCACCAACTGAGCTGTGGTGCATGCTCCATAACTTACCTTTATATGCTGAGCACACAGCACAGTATTTCACACTGACTATCTGGTACCTATTTAATGTTTATTAAACCCACAAATGCAAATATTTGGCCCACTCCATCTTCTGGTAAGACAAACATTAAAACTTTGCTCTAATAGCCTATTTTTTAATTTTTAAAAATTATTTATTTGATACAGGCTCTCACTATGCAGCTCAGACTCATAGTGATTCCCCTGTCTCAGCCTCCCCAGCATGCATACCACACCCAGTTTTGGTGGCTAGCTCAGCGTCCAGGGCTGGCATAGCATGCAGCACCAGGAATCAAGTCCAGCTCCTTGAGCTTGCCAGGTAGGTACTTAGACCACTGAGCTATCTCTCCAGCCCCTAATAGCCCATTTTTATAGCTGGACATGATAGTGCACACCTGTGATCCCAGCACTTGGGAGGCTAAGGTAAGAGGACTACCAGGAGTTTGAGGCCAGCATGGGCTACATAGTGAGTCCAGACCAGCATAAACTGTAGAGTAAGACTTCTCTCAAAATACAAACAAAAAGCAAAAACAAACAAACACCCTATTTTCAGTCACACTCTCCCACAAACTATATACAGTGCAAACTGAGTTGAAAAAAGGGGCTTTGTATCCTATCTCATCAAGTCAGATTCCTATATGACAAAAGAAATTTATACACATGTAAGTGGCAGATATATACTAGCAAAATTCCACTATAAAAAATGAATTTTAAATTACTAATAAAGTTGATTAATACTACACTATAGAATATTTCTGGTAAAAAAACAGTATCTCAATTATAACTACAAAAGTAACACCCACCCACCCACCCCCATACTGGAAATTGAACTCAAGACACTGCACTTGCCAGGCAGGTACTTATGCAGTTGAGCTATCTCCCTGGCCCCAAAATTAACATTTTAAGTAAATGTCACTGGTACCTCACATAAATTGCCAGATCTTTAAATTTATTTCCCGACCAAAATTTCCTGACTAGAATATCACTTGTACATTCATATGTGGAATTTCTGGGAGGTAGGTAAAGCTAAAGATGTGTGATACTAGGATTAAGAGTGTGTATGGGGGCCAGCCAGATAGCTCAGCGGATTAAAGCACCTGCTTAGGCAAACGCAGGAGTCAGCAGTTCGATCCCTGGCCTGCTTTGCTGGCCCCGTGGTAACTAAGACTAGGCATGATGGTGTGTGCCTATAATACCAGTGCTTGGGAGGCTGAAAACAGGAAGGGTCACTACAAGTCCTATCTGTGTAGTGAGACCCTGTAGACCTTGTACTAATTAAAAAAAAAAAAAAAAAGAGTACATATGGATGGTACCAATCAAAAGGCCTGGGGCCTGGACAGAATACAAAGGGATAGAAAAAAAATGCAGGCTTATGGTTACTGCTTGCTGCTTCACTGCCTTCCACCAGCTATGTTATGAACTGTTTTCTGTAATGCCCCTGTCATGCTGCCCTGTCTTGGAGCCAGCTGACTATGAACTGAAACCTCTGTACTCTGTGAGCCAACATAAACCTTTCCTCCTTTAATCTGTAGGTGTTAAGTATTTGTTCCAGCAATAAGAAAAGTAACTAAAACATTCCATCTTAAAACCTGTTAACATATAAGCCAAGTGTGGTGGCATATGCCTGTAATCTCAGTACTTGGGAGGCTAAGACAGGATCACCACAAGTCTGAGGCCAATCTGAACTACACAGTGACACCCTGTCTCAAGACACCAAAATATAAATAAATCCTGTTAATGAAATTAATTTTCAGAATTATCACTGAATTCTCAAAAAATGCACACACACCCATGAAAAGCCTCTCTGAGTACCGGATCCTAACCACTAGACCACCAGGGATCGTCAAGCCTCTCTGAAATCACACATGGGACTGGCAGTTTGACCTGGAAGGTTATGGTCATCATCCTAAAGTGAATTCCACAACAGTAAAAATTTCTAAGAGGATAGTTTTAATATATTTAGAAACTTCAGAAAAGCAAATAGCCTATACAGTACCATTTTTCAGACTGATTCAGTCAGCACGAATAAATGGCAACCAATTTCATTCTATGAAATAGTCACTGGATCCACATCCAAATGCAATCAAAGGTGTGCTTGTTGTCTGAGATCATACACAAGCTGCAGAACCTATATGTATCAGAACAAATTTCCTTTTCTGTAAAGCAGGAACAAAGTATCTGCCCTTCTAGGACTGTTCAGAATGTAAAGTTCAATGCCACAGTAGGGTTAGATTTGACATCCACAGTTTGGGAGGGGGTGGTGCTGCAAAATTATTTTACCTTTGATCCAATAACATTATCCTAACTTTGTTAAAAGCTGACATGTTATGGGGGGGGGCAGATACTTTCTTTTCAAATATAAAAAAATCTTACCCTTAGCTGACATCCAACTTTTTCATAAGCTTTGATGAGTCTATTCCTGTGATACATCATTATCCCATAATGATCTTTATTTCTGCAGTTGAATCCAAAAGTAATTCTCACTGTTTTAGTCTTAAAACATTAAGGGAAATTCCAAACACAAGACCTCACTCTATCCCAATCATCTTTTGTATTTCATTTTTGTGGAGGGAGGACAGGGTCTCACCATGCAGCTCAGGCTAGCCCTGAACTCATTATGTATCCCAGGCTGGCCTTAGATGATAGCGATCCTCCTATCTCAGCCCCCAGCATACAAAGATTCTCTATTTCATGATTGATAAAGACTAGACGATATAAAGAAAGGCAAAGGTGAGCAGGATGAGAATGCCTATCAGAAAAAAATGGGACAGTGGCTTGACTGACAAATGTCTGTACAGCATTAAAAAAAGGATACTAAAAATTTAGGTCGATAAACATCACGTTCAATGTAGGCAAGACTCTTCGAAACTAGCTGTGTCTTCACTTTCTGTCCACGCAAGATGATTTGCATTCTTGGCTTTAGATATAATATACTGCAATAAGCCTGAAAAGAAACACAGTATTATCTACAGATGTGCTTATTACACAGATGTGCCTTTAAATAGAAAGATAGCACCTTGCCTTTACAATACACATTCACTATCCAAAAAAAAATATATATACATAGATAGAGATAGAGAGAGAGAGAGAGAGAGAGAGAGAGAGAGAGAGAGAGAGATGGATAGATAGATAGGGCCAAGGCTAAATGATAAAGCATACACTCAGCAGATGTGACACCCTGGTTCCACCTCCAGCACATGGAGAGAAAAAGAAAAAATACATACACACACAGAGAGAGGGCCAGGGATATAGCTGAGTGATACAGAAAATATAAGGTCCTGAGTTCAACTCCTGGTACTAAAAAAGAAATAAGATCCCCTCATAGAAAGAGAGCAAGAGACGAAGAGAAACAAACATACTGTATACTGCAAAGCTGTACTGGTTATCCTCATTACTTTCATATGAGTCAGATCTGAGTTGTGAGACCCTGTAGACACTGTACTAAATACATTAAAAAAACAAAATAAACTCAAAAATAATTAAATGAACTTAATACTATGATCAATAAAAATGAAGTACAGGTAACAGTCTACTGACTTATACATTATTAAGTGAAAAACAGGTATAAAACAGCATGCATGATTTCATTTTACTTATGTATATGTTTGTTCTGGGGGGAGCTTTTTTGCATATGTATTTTTAAAGTAGTAGGGATTGAACTCAGGACTTTTATACTGAACTACGTCCCTGGTCCATTTCTTATTGTGAGACAGGTCTTACTATACTGCCCAAGCTAGGGTGGAACTTGGAAGTCCTCCTGTCTCAATCTCCCAGGGGGCTAGAGTTAGAGGGGCATATCATCATGCCTGACTTCATTCTAATTTTTTTTAAAAAATCCATGTACAAACAAGGGCATTCTGATTTTTGTCAAGTACTTACTGATATACTGCTATTCTAATCTTTAAAATATACTTCAGACATAAGAGCAAAGTTTACACCTGAAACACTGAAATAGTGCCAGGGACATAGCTCAGCGGCAAAGCACCTGGGGTCATAGGTTCAATTCCTGGATGCAATTAGAAACTACCGAAGACGATAAACTGAATAACTCAAAAAGGGTAAGTAGTACCAAATTAAAAACAAAATAACATCTGAACCTTTTTCCTGCCTACCCATTTCAAGTCATGTCTAACACTGTTTACTCCATTAATGGTATTTATTTTATTTTTGCTGTATTTAGGGCAGGGTCTATAGGTCTCACTATGTAGACTGGACTCATGGTGATTCTCCTGTTTTCAGCCTCCCAAGCACTGGGATTACAGGCACGTGCCACCACACCCAGTCTTAATTGCTGTCTCAGCACACCCCAGGGGCAGGGCCAGCACAGCAAGCCAGGGATCAAACCCTGGCCCTACACTCTGCCTAAGCAGGTGCTTTAGTCCACTGAACTATTTGGCCGGTCCTAATTAGTGATATTTAAAACAATGCACACTCCGATGCTCTGGTTGCTCCTGAACCTACATCATACTTAACAAAATTTTTGTCTTTTTCTTCTTTTTGCGGGAACAGTACTGGGATCCAAACTGAGGACATAGGTACTATCTTCTTAGCCCTTTTATTTCTTATTTTGAGACAAGGTCTCCATAAACTGCCCGGGCTGGCCTTGAATATGAGCACTTCCTACCTTAGCCTCCAGAGCACCTGGGTTCTAACAGCTAGGTCCTATCTCAGTACAGCAGGACATATCACTGAATGGTGTAATTGTGCATCTTAATTGCTAGGACCTCACAGAAAGTTATATGACAACCTGGTAAGTGTCCAACAGTCTCAGTTGGCAAACACACCAACAGAAACAACAGTTAGTCTTCTGTCAAAGTTGGTCAACATGTTCTATCACACTGACTAAAAAAACCAGTATTTTCATTATGTCAACATTGTTACAGATTTTTATTTCTTCAATCTTAAAAAAATGCCCGTTTCTATGGTTAAATCTCAAGATAAAATATTCACATAATAATAATAATAATCTAGTCTACATTGACTTAGGAGGACAACTAAACTATATTAAGTATTCCAAAACGGTATGAAAGATTTTTAAAGAAAATACACTTTGAATTTGGTGTTTTGTGACTAAATCAAACAGTATTAGCCACCATAAAAATATACTGTGGGCTGGCATGCAATTCAGTGATCCACTGCTTGCCTACTGGGGTTCAAGCCAGAGGGCAAAAACCTAAATCCAGTATCACCAATTTAAATAATCTAGATGTACAGTGAAAGAACCAAAAACACTATTAAACTTGATTAAAGCCAAACAAGATTTTCTAAGCAAATAAAGTGTGCATGCATAATGAAGAGCAGAGTACCAGCTCAGTGGCAGCAGCTGCGATGACAAGGGACAAGACGGCTGATAGCAAGTAGCGCCAGCGCATCACCAGCACATCCTCAGCAGCCCTGAGTGGCCAGCTCAGCGCACAGCTGCATACATACCCTCAGGGAATAGTCACTCTCGGGGGCAATCTGGTCTATCCTTTCTTGTTTCTTGTACCCTTTCTTCCCTGTGGTCTCATCTAAATCCTCAGGAATTCTGATGTCATATTTATCCTTTTCAAAATCAAACTCTGTTGCATTTTTGTAGCTGTAAAAATAATTATAGAAAGCAAAATTTAACATCAAGGCAAGATAAGCAAGCAAATAAAAAAACAAAAGTAAGCCTATATAAAATAAACTTATGCCTGTAATCCCAGTACTTTGGGAGGCTGAGGCAGGAAGATCACGTTTCAAGCCCTGTCTCAACAATTTAGGTGAGGACTGAAGTACAAAGCTCAGTATGAGGGCCCTGAATTTAATCTCTAGTACTCACTCTCGTTCCGTCCATCTCAATCTCCCTCTCTCACTGTATGACTCACCAATTACACTCCTGGGCACTTATTTTTAAAAAGTGAAGTCTACACATTCCCAGTTAAAAAAACCAAAACAAAAAAACCCTGTATATCAATATTTTGACATTACTTGTCAGAGGATTATATAAACAGCCCAGATGTCCTTTACCAGGTGAAATGGTTAAACACACACACTACACTGTTAAAAGCAGCAGATTAATGACACATGGATTCAAATACGCCTGCAGAGGACCACACCTAGGTGAAAAAAAAAAACAACAAAAAAAAAAAACACGCCATCTCAAAAGGTCTTGAAATGACAAGATGATAGCACAGGGAACAGATTAGAGGTTGCCAAGAATTGAAGAGGGGGTTAGAAGAAAGGATGGCAACAGTGATTCCCAAAATGGCAAAAGTGTCCTCTGTGGCTTGACTGTTGAGGATGACAGTCTATCACTGTCAATAGCACTGTTGTACTAGTTTTATAAGAGCATTATTTGGGAAAACTGGGTAAAAGGAAGAGGTGATCCCTGGATTATTTCCTACAACTACAGATGAATCTGTATTCATTTCAAAGGAGAAACCTTAGTCCAAAAAAAACCCCTGCAGGATATGGGGCAAGGAGGTAAAAACAAGAGATAGCAAATAAACACAAAAGGAAATTGGGACAGAAAAGGCACAAGTTTTAAAGTTATGTAGGGTTACATATTTGTTCTTTAGTCTATGCTTCAGCATATCTTTGACCTCTCGATATTATATATTAACCCCAAACTCTGAAGTTTTACTTACAAAGGACTTTTTTCCTCACAAGGATAAAAACTACAAATTTTGCCTGGGTGTGGTGTTGTAAACTTGCAATCCCAGCACTCAGGAGACAGAAGGTTCACTGCGATTTTGAGCCCAACATGGGCTACAAAGTGAGTTTGAGGCCAGCTTGAACTACACAGCAAAACCCTGTCTCAAAAAGACAAAACAAAACAAAACAAAAAAAATCCTAAAAATTTTAGCAGTATAAAAAAATCTCATCTAAACCAGGCATGGTGGCTCATGTCTGTAATCCCAGCACTCAGAAGGCTGAGGCAGGGCACAAAATGAGTTGAAAGCCAACCCAGACTAGAATGAGACCTTGTCTCAAAAAAACAAGAGCAAAAAACAAAAACAACAACAAAAATCTCATGTAAGCCAAAAATCTCATGTAAGCAGCCATACATCTATAATCCCAGAATTTAGAAGGCTGAGGCAAAAGAATCACTGCAGTCACAAATTCGAGGCCAGCCTGGGCTAAAGAGTGAGTTTCAATCCAGTCTGAACTATGGAATAAAAGCTTGTCTCAAAAAGGAGAAAACCCTCATCTATATTACATTTCTTACCAGATGCAAGACCACTCTTGGCTCTAAGCAGCAAACAAGATGGACAAAGATTCCTCTCCCTACCCTCTGCTATAGCTGGGCTTGGTTCAACCCTGTTCCGAGAAGGGGAAGGGGGAGAATAACACAGAGCAGTGCTACCAGAGACTGGATTTATAGCAAATGAATACCTCAAACTAAAGCCAAAGCAGCCTCCAAAAATACCTCTGGAAAAGCCAGATCATTAGTAATGCCGTGCCACAAGCACCATGCCTGTGTCATCATGGCACAAGGGCAGCGTGAGGAAACCAACCCTGCACACATACTTTACCTCCCCTGAAGTCCACACTTACCTTCTAAGATTCCAAATGATGATCCGTGTCCCCTTCTTACCCATAATTGCATCAAGTTCTGCCAGCAGCTTTTGCTCCGTCGGAAACAGAGAATGTTCTAGAATTGCAGCAAGGCTTGCTTTTGATTCTGTTAAATTAATCATCTGTCGTACATCCTTAGTTAAAGACTGAGATCAACAACACATTTTCCATAATTATGATATAGAAACTAACTCTAATAAACTTTAAATAATAGAAAAACTATTTCCTGAATTATGTTCTAAGTTTTTTTGTTTGTCTTTTTGAGACAGGGTCTTACTATGCAATTAAAGCTGGCCTTGAGCTCACTTTGTAACTCAGGCTGGTCTTGAATTCCAAAGGATCCTCCTGTCTCAGCCTCCTGACTGCCAAGATCACAGGTGTGCACCACCACATTAGACACCTTTTTCTAAGTTTTAAAATGGTAGTTTCAGCCGGACACAGTGGCACACATTTATAATCCCAGCTACTCAGGAGGCTGAGGCAGAAGGATGACAAGCTGAAAGCCAGCCCAAACAACCTAGTAAGGCCCTATCTCAAAAAGAAGGAAGGAGGGGGGAGGGGGGAAGGGGAAAAGGGAAGAGGGGGAAGAGGGGAAGGAAGAGGAAGGGGAGGAGGGGGAAGAGGAAGAGGAGGAGGAGGAAGAGGTTGGAGATGTAGTTCAATGGTAGAATACTGTGCAACATGCACAAGACCCTGCATTTAACCCCCAGTGGTACAAAATGAATGAAGGTAGCAATGAATAAATGAAATGGCAGTTCAATTTGAAGTGAACACTAGGAAGAGTTAAAAACAAGCAAGTTTACTATTACTCTAATTTGATGCTATCCAACCTTTCAGTGTTTACACAGAAGGCATTCCTCTGAAGTTACCTTGCAAAACTTTCAAGCCAGCCCATAAAATCTTACTAGTCCACAGTAAGCTACAGTAAGATCTGTGAACAAAGCTCTCTGTGGCAGTGAACATGTTCAGTAATGCTGAGGAACACAGCCAGCACTCCTCAGGCCAGGCATACACTCTACCACCGAGTGCCCTCTCCAGGCCCCTGGAATGCTTCTACCATACAAGGGAAGCCACCTATGTTGAGGATGCTAACAGAGAGAACAAACCCTGAGCATCAGGTACAGGGTAAAGGCAGAGGACACAGACAAGAGCTGGAATAGGAGTTATTAAAAGGTAAGGATTTACTCTGGGAGACAAGAGCTGGAATAGGAGTTATTAAAAGGTAAGGATTTACTCTGGGAGCCTGAAGTAGGAAGATGGCAGGTGAGAGCCCAGCCTGGGAAAGTCAGTTACTTTGCAGGACTCTGTCTCAAAATGATAAAAAGCTGGGGATGCAACCCACTCTGAAGACCATGGGTTCATCTCTAGTACCCCAAAACAAACAAAATAAAGATTTGAGGGGCCGGGGAGATGGCTCAGTGGAATAAGCACTTCCCTGGGAAGCGGAAGGGCCTGAGTTCAATCCCCGGTTCAGCAAAAAAAAAAGGATTTGGACGAAGGCAAAAGGGCAGACTGTTGCAGAGTATTTTTTTGTTTCCCCACAGCTTGTATTTCACAAGCAAAAGGATATGGTGCTTATTGAATGCGACGATCGGGACAACCACATGTTCTGCTTTGATAACCTCCAAGTACGTCTGTGATAAGAAGCCCACACTCATGCTGTCTCCGTTTTTGGTAAAAACAATTGCGTCTTTACCCAAGCGCATAGAGCCTGACTTGAAGCCATTACCATACAGTCCAACAGGGACATGACCATTCATGGTAACTTTGTCACTGAAGCCAAAGCTAGAAAAGACAAGAAAAGACTTAAACAATCAGCACCTATACTCTCACTTTTTAAAAAAATCCACCCAGTGTATGACTGGCTCTCCCAAGTTAGCTTCAACCTTCCTGGCTATCTAATGTCAAGCAAAGTACTCTTAACCTCTTGGTGTTTATCTATGCAGTGGACACCCTGCGACATCACAGGGCAAAGGGTCACAGCATTGACAGGCACACATGGCCATGCACCCCTGGCTACATGCTGCTTATGGTCTGGCAGGCAGGACAGTGAGACCTTACCCAGGAATCTCTTCTGCTGACATGAATGATTTTCTGGTCCTAAGCAACCCTACATGGTATGATTAGTCATTGGGGTGCTTCCACTGTCCGGAACCATAAGAAATATTTAAAGGACAATAGAAGGGCTCTGTTTCTACAATCTCTGTCCTGTTCTTGTACTGTATCACTCAAGTTTCCACTTTAGGCACATTTAAGTTGCACTGACAACCTCCTCTCCAACTCTACAGGCCAAGGCCTTCTGACTGCTTTGTGCTGCTTTCCCAGTCTCTCAAGCTTGTTAAAGTCACTCCCCTCAAAACCTAAGTTTTATTAGGAATAAAATGAATTTACACTGAAGTGTAAATAGCTGATACAGTCCCAGTACTCTACAATTCTAAAAGAATGCCAGAAATTGTAGGTTAAGTAAAGGAAACAAAAAAGATGGGAACAGCCTTATAGTCAACCATGAACGTTAAAGACACTTAGCCACATTGTGGGGACTGTAACTCAGGCCCTAAAACAAAAACTAGGTCATGACACATGAAACCCATCCACTAGGGAAGAGCCCAGGTTTTCCTAAGAGGGGCACATTTGTACATACCTTAGCATTTTGTGTAACTTATCTGATGTCATCCCATTCCCATTATCAGTAAATGTCAAGCATATTCGGTCTTTTATCACTGTTTTGTCAATCCATATCTGTTTAGCATTCACATCAGGATCATAAGCATTATCTAGAAAGCAAAAAGTTTTGAGAAACTTTTTTGAGTTTGCATTTTACAGAGCTATTAGTTCAAAGCAAACCTATAACAAGCTAAAGATTATCATATTTTGAGACTACTTTAAAAGTTATAAGTTTTAGGAACTGCTAAGGTTTGAAAACACGAAACTAAAGTATGTTCACTGACTAGGAAAGAATCAACCATTTCCAAAGCGCTCAGTGTTGGTAGCGAACAGAGACTGGCACTTGCCACACTACATGCATTACAAGGTCACTGCATATGGGAATGCTAAGAAGACTGGCCTGGCCATTCTAATGGCAACTAAGAGCTAAATGTCAGGGGATCCATGAGTTGCTATGCAGGTTCCACAGTAGTTATTCCATCCATACAAAGCAGCACTGCCTGCTATGCTATCTACTCCGATGGAGGACTCGCCTTCTACACAGCCCACATCTCTTCTGGCTTTCACATCTCTCTCTGAATGCTTCATTGAATATATTCATTTCTCTCAGAGAAAGCATAAAGAAATACATTTGAAAGTGGGGGGTGTGAGGCGGGGATACAGCTCAGCTGTGCAGCACCTGCCTGGCAAGCACGAGGTCCTGGGTTCAATTCCCCATACCCACCCAAAAAAAAAAAGAAAGGAAAAAGAGCTGAATAGTAGCAAGAATAAATAAATCTCATGAATTGCCCAAGACCTATATATGTGTGTGTACACACGCACACACATACTTTATCTCTCTCACACACGCACACACACATACACCCCTCAATCTTTTTTTCTCCAGTACTAGGGAGTGAACCCAGGACCTTCACACTGAACTGTATCTACAGTTTTTGTTTGAGACAAGGTCTTGTTGAATTGCCCATGCTAGCCTGAAACTTGGAATCATCCTGCCTCAACATCCCAGGATGCTGGGACTAAGACCTGCACCATGGTTGTAACTTTACTGAAATATATTATAGCTAGGCATGGTGACACAAAACAGCGCCAAGGAGGCCTAGGCAAAAAAACACTTCAAGTTCAAGGCCAATCTGCAGTACAACGTGAGTTCATGCTAGCCAGAATGGCATAGCAAGATCCTGTCTCAAAAAGACTAAATAAATAAAATATAATCTGAAGTCTTTATTATATTATAAATAAAGGTTTTCAATCTCTCCTTGTATAAAGTGGCCTACTGTTAAATAATCTTTTTTCAACCATTTTTAGAAGAACAGTGTTTCACTAAAAATTTAAAATTTAACACACCATGAAGAAAACCATTGAAGTCACAGACTACTCCTCTAGGTTGCCATAAAAAATAATAACAACAGGAATGTCAGGTAGGTACAGTGGCATACCTATAATCCTAGCACTTAGGGAGGCCAGGGAAGAATCCCAATTCAACCAGGCAAATTAGTGATTCAATAAGAGTCTTTCCCAAAGTAAAACATGAAATAATAGCTAAGGACTTAGCTCAGTGCAAGGATCCTTGGTTCAGTCTCAAGTACTGAGAGGGACAGACAGATAGATCTGGCTATAATATACAGTAGACCATTCTGAGTTTTGAAAAGTATCACCTGAACCCTATTTGTCAGGGAAAGCAAGAATCTGCTATTATAGATCAAATATACTGACACTCCTGACACCAGAAAAATTAATCCACTTATACTACCAAGAAGCATAATTCTCATTTTTTACTTTCCTAGTCAGAATAAAAATGTTTTCAATATAAATGCTTTATGAACCTAGCAAATTAAATCCTAAGAACCAAAAAAGAGCTGGAATATGGAACTTGGGGAGGGGATTACTGAGATTCACTGAACTAGCTGTCACACTTGGTAGGTAAACATTATCATTAATGCAAGATACTTTTTCCCCTACAGCACAATTTCCTAACTATGCAGAATACTTTAATATTATAATTGTAAGCAACATATAGTATATGGAACATCAATGTACGTACCTATTAATTCAGCAACTGCACTGAATGGCCAGGTATGACTAGTAGAATTTGTGTGTAAAAACTTCGGACAAAGCTGAAACAAACCAACCAATGATTCATGTAAGTTAATTCAGATCTTACTTAAGAGAACAAAAACCAGTATCATTTCTTTATCCCTGTATTAAGCAACACTGAAAGTAAAAATGACTCAAGTGCTTGTGGCACCCTAAAAGACCCCTGGGAACAAGGCTGGGTTGAAGTGGCTTACACACCAGGATGGGAGACAGCCCCTGACACCATCAGCTGCTCAGTCCAGCCCAGAAAGGTCCACCTGAGACGGATCGCAAAAGCCCTTCTGTCTAATAAACATCACTTCCTAATGTCCCCCTGCAAGACACAACTTGACAAAGAGGGTCTTCTTTCTTCAGTACATTAGTTTTTTCAGCAGGCTTACCAGTCAGCCACACAGTCAGTATTTCACACTTTGACTTGGTTGTATTACACACTTTAACTTCTCTATAGTCCAATCCCTGGCAGTGATGCGGTATCACCTATACACTCTTCAAACAAGTGTCACTAGTGATTCAAATTCAGAAAACCATGCTGATTTTGCTCAGGAATACAGCAAGGGAGAACATACTAATCAACATCACTTGGTAAGGAACTGTGGTGTAGATATCAAATGCAGAAAAATGTACATATGGTTTTAAATGTTCAATATGCAGAAAGTTTCTATGCATTTCTTTTTACATTTGTTTTTAGCAGGTTCTCTCACATAGGAAGAAAAAGGAAGTACGTCAAGTGTGAAGAGCTTTAGAAGCAAGGTTAGAATATAATCAGACCAAGGATATTTACAGTGCTCAGCTGCTGCCAGCAGGTGTCAGAAAGAGGTCTACTTGGCCTCTGGCCACACTTGTGCCCTGACAGTCTCCCACGCCATTGTCCAACATGCATTAGACTCAAGTTCTACATGTAGAGAATGAGACCTAATGGAGGACTGGTCTCAAACAGGAGCACTCGCAATCTGGACATCCTGCAGCATACATCTGGGAGTAACGACCTAGTTGGTTGATGACTGTCAGACTTCCGACCACCACTCAGTTTGACAGCCCATCTCTTTTGTTGTACAATTCTGTACCTCTTGTTTAAAAAGCCTCCGTGTCTTTTGTGCAGTGTATCTTGTTCACAAAGTACTGTGATTTTTGCTGTCTGTGCCACACTGTGGTTTCTGTCCATACTCTATACATCTCATTGAGCAACCAACTTGTTCACTGGTCCAGTCACAGGCACTGAACTGTTACGGCAGCAGCATCTGCATGGTGCTCAAGAAATACAGAGTGCACAGCACTCAATTTCTAAAGCACAGTCCTCATGTTTCTAGAGAAAACTGTCTTGAGTAATTTAAAGATAACAATACACAATGTATTAACTACTGTTACCCTATTATCTTGTTTTGTTTGTTTGGTAGAACTGGGGATTGAACTCAGGCTTGCCAGGGAAGCGCTTATTCTACTGAGCCTTCTCCTCGGACCCCTACTATCTTGTTTTGAATTTTTATTTTTTTCTCTTTAAAATTAAAAACCTAGGGAGATATCTCAGTGAAATAAGTGCTTGCCTGGCAAGCACAAAAGTCCTGAGTTCGATCCCTGGTACCACCAATAAATAAATAAATAAAAACAAAGAATTCCCAAATGTAAGAATTATAGGCATTTCTTAAAAGTAAATATCCCTTTAAAGGCAGAGCTGAACTCATATAAAAATAAGCAAAATCCTCAAGGACCTCAGACAAAGAAAGAACTAAAAACCAAAGCTACACAAATGGGGGCACACTGGGAATAAAAGTGAGAGTATTCAACTGGTCAGAGAAAGGTGTGGGTTTTAATGGGTAATTTGGTAGAAGACTGTCATACAGTTATTAGGAAGCAAATGTTTCCTCTCACATAATAAGGGAGAGGCACTGGTGGTGTCTGCCTAACAGGAAGTTCATCTGCTTTGGTCTCTACACCCCAAAGGCGGGGAAAACGTACACCACCAGATGTGTAAAAAAAGAAGCATACCTCCAGCTCACTCAGGTTAAGGGTTTCCACCGTGCAACATACAGAAGCAGTGCTGTTCAATCAGGCAAGCACACAAATCCCCTAGGTAATTATTTCTGAGACCCAATCTAAAAGCCAACTTTTAAGGAAAACAACCCACAAGGAGAAAATGTTAGCAGAGAAGACACAATAGTGTTAGCGCTCACAAGCCCCACTGGGACACTCAGTAAAAGAATACAAACACACACATAGACAAATGAGACACTCTGAAGTAAACAAAGATCTTTAAAGAATCTACAGAGTTTTTAAATTAAGCAAAACGGTCACAACACTTTAAAAACTATTTAAATATAAAATCCTTAAAACTTGGAAACCTAAACACATGAAATATTTACCTCTGTCTCCTCACACTACAAGGAGAAGGAGGAGGATGAGAAGGAGAAGGAGATGAAGGAGGAGAGAGAGAAGGTGAAGGAGAAGAAGAAGAGAGAGGAGGGGGATAAAGAGAAGAAAATAAAGAATTAGCGAAGTGATGGGCAACAGCCAACAAAGCCCTAGTATGGAAACAGGAAGGCACAGACTATGACTGTTTAGGATTGATTTCAAAGCCTGCAAAGTTAAACCAGAAGGCTGCAGGAGAGGAGAATCTGCAGAGCCTCATGAAAGCTTAGGAATCAGACTTCTGTGTCCTTGAACCATATGTGCCAGGTTGTATAAAAATAAGAGACTGAAGCTGAGAGAGAGAGAGAGAGAGAGAGAGAGAGAGAGAGAGAGAGAGACAGAGAGAGAGAGACAGAGAGAGAGACAGAGACACACACACACACACACAGAGACGGAAAGACAGAGACAGAAAGAGAGAGAGAGAGAGAGAGAGAGAGAGAGAGAGACAGACAGACAAGACAAGACAAGACAAGACAAGACAAGACAAGACAAGACAAGACAAGGAGAATTAAAATGCCCCAGAATCTTCCTTCCTCAACTGTCCTGGGTAACCACATTTTACAACTTACGTTAAAATTGCCCTTCACAGCCTCCTGTGTTCAGAGGTGGGATTTGAGAGGGTAACTGGATCCTTGGATTTCTCCACTGATTTGTTCATAGCTGGTCATAGCTGAAATGTGCTGCTAGGTGGTAGGCCCTGGTCTGAAGAGGAGTCACAGGGGGTACAACCTGGGACAGTATGCTCCACTCCCACACTGGGTTTCCTGGCTACCACAAGAGGACCACTTTCCTCCTGGGATATTTTCATCATGCTCTTTTTGCCTTAAACCAGAAAGGCATGCAAATGGCCACTAAGAAGATGAAAAGATGTTTGACATCACTAATCAAAAGAGATTAGTGATGACATCACTAGAGAAATACAAATAAAACCATAATGGGAGGCCACCTCACTTACTATAATGGCTACCATCGAAAAAAGTCCAGAAAAAGCAGAACTCTACTCTGTTACATGAAAGTTGTCAGTACCAAGATAGAGTTAATGCCTGGCAAGCTTTGGCAAAATGAAACCAAGGCGGCTACAAAATAGGCTTTTCACCAATAATTGCTGGGTAAGAGGAACTATCACAGACACAACCTTGCACAAACCACTACTTCTGTGAGGACATCTGTTCACCACGGCCAAGTTGGTCCTGGATTGATACCACCCTTGTTGCTAATTGAGGGCCAAGGCTAACTGCTTCAAAACATTTTACCTAAACCTCTTTACTTTTAAGCCACAGCCTCCCTCTGCTTCCCTGACTGAGTCTACATTCACCACCCTGTGCACCAAAATTCCTGTTCCACCCAACCAAAGGACAGCCACTTGCATCTAGGCCAACAGTTGCTACGATGTCAAACGGTACAACAGTTGTGGAAATCTGTGGCAGACCCTCGAGAATTAAAAATAGAACCACCATGTGATCCAGTGGTTCCGCTTCCAGGTACAAACCCCACAGAAATGGAGGCAGAACAGAAAGGGCTCCAGGACAGCTGGGTACCCATGCTCACAGAGCATTACTCACAACAGCCAAAAGGTAGAAGAGACTCAAATGTCCAGTAACAGATTGACAAATGAAATGTGGTACTGCAGAAAGAAACTGCTTTCCTACATTTTCACAAGGATTCCAACAATAAACGCATGGGCTTGGTTCACACCAACACCAACTCTCCAATTTCCACACAGCACATAGTGTCCAACCCCAATTAGTGCAGACACAAGTAAGGGCTCCATTCTACAGACAGCCCCACTTCAGATGCCTGTCAAGTCCAGGTCAACGGAACTTCTGACAGACCAACTACAAACTGAAGGTTCATATAATTTCTTTCTCAGATTTGATCATTTGCTGTAACAGTGCTTAGTTAGTTTTCTCAGTTTACAAATGTTTTAGTACATCACTGGCTGGTTCTAAAGCAGGCTGCCTTGGCAGAGGGGCATCACAGAAAACAGTTCAAGCTCCTCATAATACAGCAAAAGCAACAAAAGAGAAGGAAAAAGCCTGTGTGCCTTGTGATAGGTAAACTACCTATCCTGGGGCAGGTGTTACACTCACCCTTAATCCCAGCCAGAACTATGCCAAACCAATGAGTGGACTGATTTAGTAACCCTTAATCTCAGTACCACACACTCTAGATTCAGCTACATCTGAATAGCATGTTCCCATGATGCAAGAGGCTTTGGGAGGTCAGTTAAGACACAGCCACAACAAGCTCACAAACTCGAGGAACTATTTAATTATGCTTACTGGTCCTTTGTAAAGAACTGCCACAAACTGGGTGTGGTGTCACATGTCTATATTCCCTGCACTCAGGGGGCTGAGGCAAGAGGATCATTGCAAGTTCAAGACCAGCCTGGGCTACAAACTGAGCTCAAGGACAGCCTAACTGCATAGTAAGACCCTGTCTCAAAAAGAGGGGGGGAAAAAAAAAAAAAGAACTGGATAGTGACTTATGGTTTATGTCTAGCTGTCACCGTCAAAGCCTCATGCAGTCATGGGGAGGACTTCTAGAGGTTATAATTCATGATCCAATGCTGATTCTTGGTGTGAGTGCTATACCTGCCTGGGGTGGATAGCCTGAA